GGCCACCGTAACGATTACAAAAGCTGACGTTTCGAGCGCTAGCCCTTCGTCGGAGCGAATAGAGGAATTGTGAGTTGTGTGTGCTTTTAAAGGCAGAAAATGGAGCTACTTTATTGGTGGGAACATGGCAACGAGAAAAACAAGAATGTGACTAATACGCTACCAAAAATTTAACCATTAGATTGTGGGCCCAAGATTCGTATCACGTGAGAGTTGATCTGAGCAAAGCTCTCACAATCTATCTTGCATAGAAGTTTTCTTCGTGAACATTTTGTTTGTTCCATTAACCTTGCAGTTAGCGCTTTCTTTTGCTACCAGCCTCAGCATTTAACAGCGCTTTCACTGATTAAACTTCAGTTGCCATGACGAAAAATTATTAAGATCATTTCAGTTAAATAGTGATTAAAATCAATTCTTGTTGACTTTTGCAGCATTCTACTTCACACAGGAGAGGAGCTTGGAATGGAAAAAGATCGAGTGTTACTCTTGGATGAGACAGTAGTTCCTGCATCAATGACACAACTTAGACAGGTAAAATGAACTGAAAATACAGAAAAACACACAGACAGGCTAGATTAAATGATTTCTTTTACAGCAAGAGCTTCTCTTTATACTCAGTTATGTGCAATAATTTTATTTTCAGAGGCTCAAGCATGTGGACCCTTCTGCATATTTCCCACTCATTGAGGAGGATGAGTAAGAAATAGTTTCACCCGTTTTTCACTTCGCAAAAATAATACAATATGAAACTGAAACTTTTAAAGGAAAGCCTCAAATATTTAAAAACACGAAAAACTTGATCGTTTAGTCTGATCGTCCGGGTAAGAGTAGTTCTAAAAAGGACAGTTGTCCGTAGTAGGGACTGATGTGATAGAAACCCTTAGAGAAGTCATCGTCAGAGTTAACCTCGTTCCCAAGGCTTCTCATCTTCCCGCCCCTCCCTCGCTCCAAGGGGGCGAGTAGATGAGAGACCCTGGGAACGAGGTTACGTCAGAGTCGAGTGAAGAGTTGTTGTCAGTCGAGTGTTTTAAAATTCTCCACGCGTGACATGTTGAATTTCTGTGAAAGGCTTCTTCTTTGCAATAGACTTTCATCGCTTCGACGAGCTGCACAAATTTAGACCATCTCCTTTAGTGTTTACTTTAGGAAAAATGTACGCTATGCCTCTTCATACAGTTACGTTATGTTACAGAAACAAAGCTAAACTGCAGCAGAAAAAGCTGGATCAGGTTTACTGTAGGTACTTTCGACCGATATATCGGCCGTTATGCCATTCAGGCTTTGTAACTGAAGCTTTTTTTTTCCGTCTTTTTTTGTATCGATATCAGTCCATCCTCCAGATATGCTCTTCTCGACACCGCGGACCTTCCCTTGACAATTAGAGAGACAACTGTGGATTACCAGGTAGAGTGAACTTTGAGTTCAATAAAGCACGTGAAACCTGCGTGTAATGCGCGTGTAACACACAGAAACTACACGCGTTTTACGCGCGTAAGCTGCAGCAGTACACGTGAGCAACACTATCCCAAGTGAATGGCTATTCTTTTTATTAAAAACTAGGTGTGACTAATACCGGTGTGTTTTTTTAGTTCCACAGAATTGTCCTGTTTCAAAGACTTATGGAGGTAGGAAAAATCTTGAAATGCACTACAGAAAACAATAACATGTTACAAGTACTTATATTTTTGTGAAATGTCGACTTTGAAAGTATTTCCTTAATTATTTATCTTCTCGTTTTGTGAATTAGAAAGAGCTTTCGCGTCAGTGTATGGTGTTCTTATTTATATTAGACTGTAAGAAATTTCATGTTTGATAACTGAGCACTTCAATTCTAAAAAACTGCATTTTCCTATCATAGGGTTATCCTTACACAAGAGATCGTATAGTACGAGAAGCGAGAATAGACATTCCCCCTTTTCTTAGAGGGAAGATATGGGCGGCAATTTTAGGAATTCAGGTGAGAATCAGAGGACAAATTTCCTTTGCTACGCCAAAGAGGGTGGCAGACGAAAAAGTAGAATGCTACGTCATGGACGGCGGCTCAATCCCTGACTGGGTTATTGTGTTATGTTTTTGAGAAAATTAACAACATCGAAAGCATCGTTTGAATAAATGGAATAAGAAAGGTCATAAATTTTGCGCTCATAACAAGGCGATCCAATGTCTATTTATTTCATTCCTGGGCCCAAAAACGTGTTATCTTTCTTTTTCTTAAAGTAGACTTGTTCTATTTGTCTTCAGGGTGATATCCAAGGTACATATGACGCTATTGACAAGGAGTCTTTCACTCAAACAGACAGACAGGTGTGTCGGTCAATCCAGCTCAGCCTGGTTAAATGGCCTAAGAATTTTGCCATTTTTCCTTTTGAGGTTTTTCTCTCGTATTCTTCCAAGAAAACATATTGCGAGTATAGTAAGGATTTTAATAGGAATATTCCTAATGTTAAGCCTTTCATAAAAGTACTTGATGAGAAACCGAAGCAAAGAAATACTGTTGAAGCAAATGTAAAATCCGAAAATTGTGAATACCCCGTAAAACTGAATCATGATATACTTCGATGCAACTTGTCTAACTATAATTTGAATATATCAACAAAGTTGAAATGGTAAATTGGCCACCGTTACGATTATGAACAAAGGCTGATACTGCCATCAGTATCAGCCTTTATTCATTTGTATAACTATAGCTGTAATAAAAGTCCTCTCTAGTAGATCTCGACTTTTTCACTGATATTTTCAATCTATCATTTACTTTCTTGTGCTCTTGATTCCACCACCCGAAGATTCTAACGCGAAGGAAGACTTTTTTCAAGTCTAATGATTTTTATCTGTGCATTTTTTCTCAGATTGAAGTCGACATTCCCCGATGCCATCAGTATGACGAACTACTGTCTTCACCCACAGCTCATGAGAAGTTTAAGAGGATTTTAAAGGCCTGGGTTGTGTCTCATACTAGCTTGGTCTATTGGCAAGGTAATCAGTTTAGAGCGCTGTTCGATTAAGTGTAGTGGTACCAAAACAAAAATAATGACAACGGCGAGGAGAACAATAGAGAATACTACAGAAAGTCTTTCAATACTCAAGTAACAACGTATAAACTACCTAAAGCGCGGAAAAACGCGAGTGAGCACGTCGACATTATTGGTTTTGGCTTTGCATCTGTTAGGCAGAGGATGCTTTTGGTTCTCGGCGTCGTTTAAACGAAACTATTCTGAACAAAGTAATCACTTGATTTAAGAGTAGTTTTCAATTGATTATCTAACGTGATCCTGAGTTGCTTTGGTTTTGCTGTACCTCGCTCTGTGATTGGTCCAGAAACCCCACGCCATCCTCTCAACCAATCAGGTACATAACTTAAAACGCTCGCGACTTGGTCGCCCGCGTTTACCCGCGTTTCAAGCAAGTTGCCGTTTTTACTTTGAGTTCTCATTGGTTATTGATGATGTTTATCTTTGTTCTGATTGGTGGCTGTGGTTACTTTGGTTTCAGTTTTTCCACAAAAGGTTTCAATACCGCTCTATAACCGGATATTGATTGTTTTTTCGCATTTTTCAGGTCTGGATTCTCTCTGCGCGCCTTTTCTTTCACTCAATTTCAACGACGAAGGTAAGAAAACCAAACGTCAAAAGAACTCAGAATGATACAGGTTCAAGCTGAATGTCGTGCCTGACCATTGCATGATTTTTTTACCTTCACAGCTCTTGGATACGCTTGTCTGGCTGCGTTTATTCCCAAATATCTTCATAATTTCTTTTTGAAGGACAATTCAGCCATTATACAAGGTGGGTTGTCCTAAGTCATTTTTAATGATCTTTTGCTCCATTTAAAAAAACCCCTAATAGTGCAGTTATTCTATTTTCTGGGCAGAATATTTGGCAGTGTTTTCTCAGCTGATCGCCTTTCATGATCCTGAGCTTTTTAACCATCTCCATGAAATCGGATTTATCCCAGAGGTAAATATGACTTATAAAACAATAATTGTTATACCTCCCAGCACTAATATGTTTTCTGATTAGGGAAGCACGTGTCACATGCCATGGGTGTCATAACCTTCCGATAGCTGTACGGTGTCTCTGATTGGTGGTTATTAATAAATGCAAAACTCATAGCAACCAACCATGGGCATGGCACATCTGTTTTTTATTTGTCGGGTCCAAACTCTTCACTCTTTCCATCTCTCGGCGGGAGGAAGTTGTGACACTATGATGATACCATGCTATTGTTATTGTTATAAAATCTATTATCATTGGTCTGTTGTTTTTTTCTCCACAGTTGTACGCAATTCCATGGTTTCTCACTATGTTCTGCCGTAAGTATTCGTGCAGATTATTTGTCAAGAAGACTTTCTTTTAACACAACTAATTCAGAGCTCCAATGCATGAGATTCCCATCAGGGGATTGCAATACTTCTTATCGCTTCATACTGTGGAAACCATTGTGAGCTCCCGCTTGACTGAAAAGCAGACCTCACCTTCCATCTTTTCCCCCTTTTTATTTTTCAGACGTGTTTCCTCTTAAAAAGATATTTCACCTTTGGGACACTCTGTTGCTAGGCAACTCATCCTACCCACTGTGTATTGGTGTCGCTATACTGGAGCAGCTACGTGAGCAGCTACTGTCGTTTGGTTTCAACGAATGTATCCTTCTGTTCTCTGATATGCCAGGTAAGGTGTTTCCATTCAATGAGTTCTCCTGCTTGTCTTCACCAGCGGATGGAGCATGATTATCGGAAACTCTTTGCTCTTAGACCTATACGCCCTTTTTGTGTATATTGTGAGAGGGAAATTATTAAAAAAAGTATATTTAGTTATACTTCTGTAGAGTATATTTACAGAAGTATATTTAGTTTCGTCTCTTCTACTCTAAAGGTTACATATAGTAGCACAGTAGTAGCATTGGCTTAGTCCAACGAACCTACTCGCTCTTGCTGTCAAAGGTCATCGCGGTTTCCGTAGCAATGAATCAAACAGGATTATTGTAACTAGCCCCGCCCGTATCTCTCTACCATTTTAATAAGTTATCTCTCCTTGGTTAGATGGGATAAGTAACTGAGTGAGGTGTTTACCTAGGAACACAACAATTACGTATTGAGTGGGCAGAACTTGAAGTTCGACCTCTTCAATTATAACAGACATTATTATCCAACTGTGTTTCGTAGAGTACAAATAACGCGCGAGACAATACAAATATCCGCGAAATTCGCCCGCACTGAAATAAAAATTTGGCGCGTTGATGATAAATCTCTTATTAAACGTTTTGTTGTGTGGTATCGCTGAGTATTTTTACTCGTTGTTTGTATTTTTACTCGCCCTACGGGCTCGTCACAACTGGTAAAAATAGTCAGCGATACTACACAACAAAACGTCTAGTAAGATATATGTATTTGTTATCTTATCTCTTGCATTTCAGGAGTCGACATTGATCGAGTGGTGCGAGACGCCAAGAGGATTTTCTGTAACACTCCGCGTACAGCTTCAATGAGACGACATGACAGAATGTATTACGATCCAAATGTAAAACATGTAAGGCTTGAAAGTTATCCCAGATCGCGTCGGTTTCGCTTTACTTGGCTCTGTGTGTGATTGGCCCAGAAAACTCGTGCCACCCTCTCGACCAATCAGATGCAAAACGGAAACCAGTCGCGTTGTTGTCGCCCACGTTTTCCCGCGCTTGGTTATTTTTCTTTGAGTACTCATTTGCCTTTTGCGATTTTGTCCGTTTGCGCTCATTGTATAATCTCTGAGGTGAACTTTTTTCCCATAAATTTCAAAATATATTTGTGACACAAACTTCTTTATCAGCGAATTTTGCAATATTTGTTCCTCTTCCCTTTAGGAGAAAGAGTTTATTCCGCTATCACAGCTCAAAGCTGAAATCTGTCCCCGGATATCCGCTCAAGATCTCGTTCACATTTGTGAATTGGACGAAAACGGAAGTGCCAGAGGCCCAAGAAAAACCAAGCCTCGTGGTCTAACCGTTGATGTCAGGCCGGCGGAGGAGTATCCTTGCTTCAGTAACATTTGAACAATTTATAGTCATAGATATGGGCAAGAGAATCAGTTTATAGGTTTAAAACTGTGGGTAACATGTGATAGTGCAGTCTGATCGTCTGGGTAGGTGTAGTCCTGAGAAGGACAATTTTTCTGCGACTCTTAAACTGATACGTATGATGCACGATCCTCGCAGTAGAAAGCGCTATTTATGTAAAAGCGAAAATCACTAGTATCGCAGAGGTCAGTGGTTCGAATCCCGTACAAGCCTGATTTTTTTTTTCAGGTCTGATTTTCGCTATTGCATAAATAGCGCTCTCTACTGCGAGGATCGTGCATCATACGTAATAACCTGAGTGGAAGTCAACACGAGAGTCAACTGATGAATTGTTTGTCCATCAAGTATCTTAAAATAAGTAACAACAATTGAAAAATTTGCAGTGCAATCTTGGTCAGCAAGCTGTAGGAGGAATTGTAGAGATCTGGGTAAAAAAAGCATAATGTACCTTATAAAAAGCCTGCAGATCACCAATGGGTGGTGAAACTTGCAGATAATCTGGAAACTTGTCCTGGAGATGAGCAATAAGCATACCAAACTGTGTGCCCCAGTCTCCAATGTGATTCAGGCTAAAATACAAATAAAACATAAGAAGAAACTACAACCAAAGTTTGCTTGACAACACAGAATATTTCAAATCATTTTCACAGCATGAGCAGGAAATGAAGGTGGGTTTTTTTTCTTGCTGAATGGGGAGGTTTAGCAGTGGGCAGACTAAGCATTTGATCTGTGTCTTTGCTAGCAAAGCTGTGCTCCTAAAAGAATCACTGCAGGGGTGGATCCATGTTTTTTCTTTTTTTTATACTTGACCCTACATAAGTTTAAGAGTGTTTTGAGTTAAGTCAATCTTAGATACTTATGAAGTAATATGCTGTTCTGACATTGCAAGAATCTAGATTTAGACAAGCAGTAAACAAAACCTACAGGTCTGATGGAGGAAGTGAAGTGTGTCCCCTCCCCCCCTGCCCCCCCTTCTCCCCCCAGGGCATTCCTACTGGATCTGCCACAGAACTGGGTGCCTCAGGTTCTTATATCAACATATTAAAAAGGTCACCCAAGTAAAAAAAAAAGCTGCAGGAAGCAAATGCACACTGCAAAAGTACAGCTGTTGCCTGCTATCTCACCGTAACACATCGTGCCCAGCAAATTCAAGAAGACGACTCAAGCTTTCTCCAATAATGGTAGACCTTAGATGCCCAACATGCATCTCTTTGGCGATATTTGGAGAGGAGAAGTCAATCACACATCTCTTCTTGACCGGAACAGCAGGAGGCTGTGCTCCATTTGTAAGAATGTCTTTCAGCATTGTTGACACAAAGTTATGACTGAGACTTATGTTTATAAAACCAGCTCCAGCCACCTCTACCTGTAACAGAAAGGAGTTGAAAGAATCAGAATATTTCATTTTCCAATTACCAAAGAAGTTTTATTTTTAGCAAGTCTTTTCCTACATTTTTTAACTCACCTTTTGCATGAGATCATTCTGAGGTACATTTGCCAAAATTGCTGCAGCAATTTGACGAGGATTACTGTTGATCCCCTTGCTTTTGAGTATCTGTGGATAATAAAAGTAGCAATAGTTATCACAGACTGAAGAATTAATAGCATTCTAACAATCAAATCATGTAGCTGTCACCATGTACTGGAAATGAAGGGAATTTTTAAGTGAGCATTGCAAATAATCAGGGATTACATTACGTTGTCAATTGCTTCCCTTCCCTGTGTGATTGGTCAAGAAAACTTATACCACCCTCTAAACAAATCAGATCCAAATCTAAAACCAACTGCAACCTGTAACTTCAGCAAATGGACAGTGGTTTACCGTGGTCTGTATTCTCACTGACAAGAATAGCCATCATCACTGTGGTCAGTATGTGTGCTATGACTGGTAAATCTTGCAGTCCACACTTCACTGTACAGGCCATTTAATTCAAAAGTTTGTTTAATTAACCCTTTAACCCTTAGGAGTGACTAGTATCTAAATTCTCCTTACAATATGACCCTAGAATCAGACATTAAAGCCATGAGAACAAAGGAAATGATCACCAACTAATGGTGCTCTTGACTGTCAAAAAAATTCTCCTTGATGACAACCTGGCAAATGCTTACAGAACAGTATAGAGAATATGCATTCTGATGTTAGGGGAGTAAACAGTTACACTGAAATCTTCTCCTGCTATTTCAAACCAGAGATATAAGAATATCTTATTAACCAAGCGCGAGGGCCGTACTGGGAGAATATCGGCCCGAGGTCTTGACAGTACGGACTGAGTGCAGCAAGGTCAGTACAAAAAAGACCGAGGGCCGATATTCTTCCCGTACGGTCCTGAGCAAGCTTGGTTGATAAGAGATTTGTTATATGACTGAAGTTTGAAGGGACACAAGTGCGGTATCATTTGGGACCATTCGGGACAGTGCCCGGTCCAATACTGGCATTACTGAGAGATTGTTGACTGGCAATAAAGCATTTTGATTGGTTGATTTTAGTTATTGGCCCTCTGACTGCCCGAGTCATGTAATAATCTCTCCATCTGTACTATAACGTTACAGAAGCTCTTTTTTTCCGCTCAGATTTATGGCCCAGGCGAAACCCTAAAAACGTGGTCTATAACTTGCAGTGAAGACCTTGAACTCAATTTGTAATAGGCATTTAATATGCGAGACACCAAAGTAATTTGCATCACCTGGTTAATTGCCATGGCACTGTTACACTGGTAGTCTCCAAACTTTTCACCCTGGGAGGCCTGTACCATGACAGGAGCATCTGGCAGATCAGGAAATGTTTGTGCAATAGCTTTTTTAAACATTTCATTCAGAGTGAACTGGCAGTTGGTCATTATCTTCTTGGAATTGGCTTTCTCTTCCTCAATGCTCTGAAAAAGAGAATGTTCAAAACAAACTAAAAAGAACGTCCTCATGACAATGGTGGTCCTGGAGAATTTCTGATCATGAAAGAAAGAGGAATTGTTCTCTTGTTCATCTGAAAGTACGGTGGATGTGGATCACAAGCAAACGCACATAACTTTTGTACAATGTCGAATTCATTCAGGGAAAATAAGTAACTGCGGAGCGAGTTGGAGTTACTCTTACACGCTTGAGGGTCTCCACTTGGTATTTGAGCTTGCTGTTCTCAGTAAAAAACTTTTCCAACTCCGGATCACTTGCACTTTCACTGGATTCATTCTCGGATACAACACAATTTTGTAATGCCTCAATTTTCCTCTTCAAACTCGTTATTTCATCCTCCTGATATATATAAAAACAGTAGAGGTTATATTAAGAATACAGCAATGCAAGGGAATGCTCGAGGGAGCAGGATAAGAAACCTCACCGCTGTTTTTGCGCGTTTAGAATATTCTTCGACTACACTGCCGTCCGCCATGTTGTTGTTCGTAACACGTGGATGTTGTGACACGTGAAAAACTCTGATTTGTGAAAACGTGAAATTTGCGTGGAAGGCGCTGGAAATCACTTGGAAAGCCTTCTTAGAACTAAGAGGAAATAACTTCCGTGAAACAATAAAAAAATTCATTCACTGATGAAATGCTCGAAGATTAATTTCTTTAGCCGGGTTACAAAGCCCTGGGTGGTTACCAACTATAAACAATATGGCGAACGTTCGTATTGCCTGGGAGTGATTGGGTTTTATGACGGTTTCATTCGCTTTAAAGGCAATCTAACGTATTATGTTCATTGATGTAAAAACTTGAAGAAAATGGGTACTCTTGGCCAAGCGCAGATTGGAATTTCGACGTTTTTTCCGTGTCCCCATCCAACAGATCAGTGCGGTACAAATGGACTTCCCCTCACTCCAAATTCCATCGTGATCATTGGTCGGTTTCAGCGATTGAAAACTCTTTGCCATCAAAATGTATGTCAGTATCTGGATATCATCAGAGCCAAACATGGTGAGACAATAACTCTTGGAAAATGGTCAAATATCTACTTAGAAACCTCAGAAACTTCCCTCGAGAGCAGGGAAGAGAGGAGGGGGTATGGGCCCCGAGAGGGGGAGCAGTTGTGCCAGTGTACCACCCTGTTTAATGCATGAGGTTTGAGCATTAGGCATGCAATTATTACACTACAAAAACATAATTTAGTGTGGGTCTAGATAGCACACACTTGTTTATGCAAAATAAAGGGATGTGAACTTCAACACCCGCAAAAATTAAATGACTGTTGATTAATTGCGGTGATTTAGCAAAATCACACTGTTGACTTCTTGACATCTTTACAGAGAGGCTTATAGTTGCTGAGGAGTATTATCCTGAAAATTTACAGCTTGCTTTGAAAAATGGTAAAAAATTTAGGTGAGTTTTTTAGCAGATCATTGGCTTACACTTAATTGAGGTATCCTTAAAAGAAATCATCCACACACCTTGAGAGAATTTCCCCTATTACAGTAGGTCATCCACAAGCTTTATTCCTCACAAGATACGGTGATAATAATTACCAGTAACACTGCATTTTTGAAAAAAAATATTTAAAATGTTTGACAGTTATTTTCAAGAGTGTTTGAATCTAGATGTTATCAATTAATCTTTAATGATCATGTAATTTTTATCTTGCAGTTATACTGATATCAAAAGAGTTGCATTTGAAGTTGTTCAAGGTCTTTCCTTTCTCAATGGACAAGGCATCGTTCATAGGAATTTGTCCCCGGGTAACATAGTATTCACCCCAAAGGTTAGGAACTTTACAATTCTTGGTCATGATCGAATGTCTTTTTAAGTATTGGGTAATAGTTTTGTTATATGATCCCAGTGTTGGTGCAATTTTTTTGCTGCACTGAATTCCAGTCCATTCAAGTCCCACTATTTCCATTACAAATGAATAAAGAAGGTAAGTTTCTCTAGAACCTGTGGTGCTGCGCCGGTGGGAGTAACAAGGTAATATTGGTTTTATCAACTCAGTTGATAAGTTGGCCACTGTTAAGAGTTTCAAAGCTGAAGTTTTGAGTGTTAGCCCTTCATCAGGCTGAAAGAAAATATTTCCATGACAGTTTGCTTTACCTATTTACACCCGTTGGTGGAGAGAGGCATGGTGAGATTAAACTGTCTTATTCAAGAAAACAACTGAAGTGACATGACTGTGGTTTCAATCCAGAGCTCTTGATCAGGATCTAGTAAGCTATAGCATCTTAACTGCTTTATATTTTAGTAGGTACTTAAGGTCTGTTTATCTTTGTAGAGTAATAATGAGAACATCTTTTTTTTTTCAGGGTCAAGTCAAATTATCTAGGAGTTGTTTATATCATATGACTGGTTCGGGGGCTCGAGTAGCATTTCCAATTGGGTGAGCTGTATTTCAGTTAGTGCTCTATGTACATGTTTGAAGGAAAATGGATATGAAAGATGACAATGACAAAGATTGAAAAGTTACCAGTAACATAGAACTAATAAATGGTTAAAGCTACTAACTTTGATTATCCTTGAAATTAAAAGCGTGGCTTGCTTATTTAATGACTGAAAAGTGATATTCTCTGTGATGCAAAAAATAAGTATTTCCTAGCTCAAAGCATATTAATTTTTTTTTGTGCAGTTGTCCAGCATTCATGGCTCCTGAGGTGGTTTTAGCAGGCCAAGGCCTCTCTCCTGTATTTGGACCATCAGGACCCAAGGTAGGTGTTACTTACACTAAGTTCTAAAGTGGTGTTGTTTTGGAGTTGTAATTGTTGGGCCCACTCTAAAAGAAAAATGCCAAGCTAAAAAGGGTGTTTTGGAATGCTTCTGATTGCTTTTCAGTGAACCCTTTGACCCCCAAAAGTGACCAGCATCTAATTTCTCCTTACAATTTCATCCCTGAATCAAACATTATGGTCATGAGAATAAAAGAAATGATCACCAACTAAAGAAGCTCTTGATTGTTAAACAAATTCTCCTTGTCAGCACCTTCAGAAATGTATAGAGAACAATATGGAGAATATACATACTGATGCTAGGGTATAAAGGGTAAAAGAATAATGGAAAGTACTTAGAATAAAGTATTGAGTAAAAAATACAAATCAAACCAGTTTGATTCATTTTGACTTGAAATTTTGAACTTCTGATGCACAACATGACTTTAAACTTGCATATTGATTACAAGTTTGAGACTTTTTTGCCATTTTGCTTTATTTTAGGTTGATGTTTGGTCTTTAGGAATGGTTTTGATTTACATGATATTGGTAGGTACTGATTTCTTTTTTAAAAAATTAACCAATATTATTTTTATTAATATTACAATTTATAGGTTGATCATGATTTTACCAAGACCCTAGGTTACAGCACTAAATCTATGTATATGTGCACAACCCTTGCAGTAAAGCACTATTTAAGCAATAGTGAAGGTCAGACCTGAAAAAATTCAGGCCTGTACGAGATTTGAACTACTGACCTCTTCGATGCTAGTGCAGCCAACGCTCTACCAATTGAGCCAACAAGCCAACTGGGAGCAGGCCATCAAATTAACTAAATCTGTTACAAACGTAAAGTGAATTGTGTGCGTGGTGGGAACATCATTCTGCATATCACCTTTTTTTTATTTCTTAGGAAGGATCTCTTTGGGCAAGTGAATCTGAAAACAATCACATACAAAAGATTTTTTTAAAAGTTCTTTCTCTTGTGAAAGGAGTTCAAGGTGGGAGTATTGCTATGTTATAGAAAAACTTCAATCGGTTTATTTGTTCATGATAAATTAGATAACAGAATTGTTTCAAATTCCAAGTCAATCTATATAGTCCTTTTTTCCTGACCATGTTTTTCTCTTTTGAATAATTTCCTTCAGATTCTTCAAGTGAAGTTCTTAAACTTCTCTTTGATGACAGCCATGCACTGGGAAAACTCCAGGTTAGCAACATTCAAGAGGAAAATACATTTAAGAATTCTTCTTTGTATTTAATTTTATTGGTTTTCAAAGTGAGCATTGTTTTGTCTTTCTTTCCTTTAGGAAATTCCTTCAGATTTGTCTTCTTTTCTGAGAATTTGCCTAACAGTGGATGTTACTAAGAGGTTTATTTTTATTTATATGTCTTTTACTTACTTTTTTTTATTTATTTACTTTTCATTTGTTGATGAATGCTGACATGTATACAAAAATATACTTTGATCCACATGCTGAGTAACATGAAAGTGATAGCACTACTTCACTCACATTTTTCCCTTTACAAATCACACCAGATAAGTGTAAACCTAGGAAGTTCATCAGATCTCTGACCCCTAAGATAGCGAGAGTACTTGTCAACTGATCTCCAATTTAATTTTATTTTAATGCTGCAAATTTGAACTTGATAAATGAAAAGGTGTTCATTAAATGTTTTTTTTCCTAGGCCTATTCCGTGTGAGTTACTGAATCATGAAGTGTTTGCCGACTTTGATAAAGGAAAGGTAATTCTTAGCAGGACTCCTGTTTGAAAGGGCAGGCAGTGTCATTCAACAAATACATTGCACTCACAGTGTTTACTCCTTGAGTCTCCAGAGATGTTTAAATTCAACCTAAAGTGCCACGGCTATGTCTTGTGTAACTGTCTAATTTTAAATTGTCAGTGACTTGTCTATGTTGTGCCTCATCTATATTGTAAAGATAACTTCATGGTTTCCACTAGGTGAAACTAACCAATGGATTTCAAAAATTTCCTGCTGCGTTCAACTTAAAAGAACTTCCTGTTGGTGATTTTCAAACTGATGATCTATTAAAAGGTAAGTTGGCAAGATGTTGGAAGACGATTACAATTTTTTATTAAGGAGACATATATATAGCTTTATTGCTCTTAAATTCTATAGTCACGAAAACCTCGGGAATGGCATTCTAGGTATCGTGAGTGGTATGTCTGAGGTTTAGGTTCACGTTCTGTTTCTTGTTCCTCAACAGTTGTCGACGATGACGAAGATGATCTCCTTTCTGAGAGGTTAGATTGGCATTCTAATCTTTGAGTGAGTTAGGCAAACAGCATTCACAGGCAAATCACTTAGAATGGGAACATAGTGACTAGCATCTAATTTCTCCTTACAATATCACCCCTGAATCAAACATTAAGGTCAGGAGAATAAAGAAAATGATCACCAACCAAAGAAGCTCTTGATTGTTAAACAAATTCTCCTTGTCAGCACCTTAAAAATGTATAGATAACAATTTAGACTACAACGTCTTTCTACTGCGAGGATCGTGCATCATACGTATCTGCAACCGCAGTTCAAAATATACGAACTTCATATATTCATTGCATCTGATTTATCATCACAGGTTTATTACGAATCAACTTAACGGCGTGCTCCCAGTTGGCTTGTTAGCTCAATTGGTAGAGCGCTGCACTAGTATCGCAGAGGTCAGTGGTTCGAATCCCGTACAGGCCTGATTTTTTTCAGGTCTGATTTTCGCTATTACATAAATAGCGCTTTCTACTGAGAGGATCGTGCATCATACATACCTACAACCGCAGTTCAAAATATATGAACTTCATATATTCATTGTATCTTAAACTGATGTTATACGCGTTAGTTTTACGGAGACTGACCACCTCATTTTAAGACGCGTAACGACGAAAGCTTGTCTGCATTAGCGGATTTACTCAATAGGTAGAAGAAGCGATAATTTTTAGCTGTGTTTTCCTTGATCCATTATCTTTCAACGTAAAGATTCGCATGCGGCCAAATTCCCGAGAGTGTCAACATTCCTTACAATCAGGCGTTCCTTGAAGAGGGTGGACTGGCTCCATCACCGGCGGCAAATACACTGATCAGCTTCAAAGGAAGAGTGATTATTGTTGCGGGAAATCGTAATAATTACCCTGCTAAGGTAGAATAAAGCTGACTTGTTATGGAGCCCCCCCTCTCCCCTCCCTGCTCCCCCCCCCTAGTGATGCAGTGATACAGCTGGTAGAATGAGCGCACGATACGTTTTTCGCGTTCCAAGCGATTCATAGTTGAGTGTCAAAAATGATTCGGAACCGCAGTGGTTTTGCCTCACGTCGCACTGTGATTGGTCCAGAAATCCAGCGCCGCTTTCTCAACCAATCAGGTACAAGACTTCAACCAATTGCGACCTTGTTGCACGTGTTTTCCCGCGCTTCGCGCAGTTTACCGCTTTGCATCCAGATTCCCAAAAAATTTCGTGATATTTTCCTTCGTTCTCAGAAACACCTTTGGTTTTGTGAAACTCAGTCCAAAAACGCACGAGGCCAAAGATATCTTATTCTTTTATTCTCTAAACAGGTCGGTACCGAGCTTGTTCAACTTGGATTTTCGAGGGTTTGTGTCTTGGAAGAACCAGGTTTGACAATTCTTCGCACTCGCGGACATCTCACGGTTCCAACTTGAGTAGCTGTGGACACGTTTGACTTGGAATTCTCGTCTTCGACAAAGTTTCAAAAACCCGCCCTACTTCCTTGAGGACATTTTCAGCCTTCGGTGTGGTAGCTCTCACTCAGTGAAAATGTTTACGTGAGCATGAGTCGTTGCGTAGTGCTAAGGAGAGTTACGTTATCGATAAAAATTTCAGGCTCAGTACTTGGATATCGAAATTAGTCGAACGGAAAGTAAAAATAGCTCTGTAATAGTTATGTTAGACACTTTATTGAGATTAAAAATATCATTTTCTCGATGTTTGAACTTCAATCCTATGTAAATTTATGAATAAAGTAAATTTCTCAGGAAATGATGACTTCATGTTTTTCTTCTGGAAAAGGCAAACGTCAAAGGGTCACACTAGATGTATTTCGCCAAGGAAGCTGTTTCTTAATGCTTATTTGGTAGGTTAAAAAAAGGGCATTGGAGTCTATAAAATAACCGAAACCCAAGAAGGAAAAACCGTGAACCACATTGGATACCAAATCCGAAAACCCATTGGTATTTTTGACGAAAACCGAAAACGGAGAATCCGCAAACCGAATGAACGCGAAGAACGCGGACAACTTGAACTGCACCCAGCTAAAAGCTGGCTGCACGACGTCTTTCTGGCAGGCTCTTAAGAAGAAGTTTTTGTTTTCTTTCGTTGCACCAATTGAGGATATCCGCCTCAACATCCTGATTTTAGGTAAATGTACGTCGTTTTTGGCACTTACTTCAGGTGTGGAATGGTCTAGAGTGGCCTCAGTAGACGAGAAAAGTGGTTTAAATCTACTAGGAAAACGAAGGGAACTGATGAACAATATATTACTTACTTCAGAAGACAACCTTTGTGACGATGAAGCAATGATAAGATACATTGAACCAGGTTTTGTAGTTTCTAATTAAGACAGAAGCTCTATCACGCAAAGTTAATTTTAATTTAATTTAGTTTAATTTAGTCCATTTTCACTGCATTAAGTTTTGCAGTGGGGAAGGACTAGAAAGGAACATAGGAACCATTCGTGCTAGTCCACCCTCCCACCCATCCCACCCCAGGGGAGGACATCCATCACACAGTAATCTCGTGTGTGGGAAATTAACGTCTCCTACCCCAACCCTGCAGGAGACGGGACCTCCATTTATTCGTCCCTATCCGAGAAGACTAGAATATCTAACCATTTCTTGATGTTATAGAAAGGCAGCAAATTCTTCTCAATCATTTTAAGACCCTGAGTGTTGGTCCGGCCGGGGCTCGAACCCTCGACCTCCCGCACAACAGTCCAGCGCTCTATCCATTGAGCTAACCGGGAGGCGGTTTAGAGCATATTGTTTACACAAGTTTAGAGCATATTGTTTACACAACCGGAAGAGGATAACGTAAGAGGGATGGGACATAAAGTCGAATATCGCTTCTACCGGAAGTAGAGAATGTCAAAAAATCAAGGATATTTACGAAACTTGAGATCGATAATATGCTTTGGAAGATAATTACACGGCTAAGTAAAGGCCTAAGCAAGAGCACTTCAAACAAATGAATTATTCGATTGAATTTTTAATTCGTTTGACACCGGAAGTGTTACGTATGTCGCTGGGGAAAGTTCAGTTCCCGCCCTCTTTCGATTTCCCTTCCTTATGCTGGGCTTCCGGGCAATGAATCAAACGCGGTTGGGAGCGTCGGTGTGATCAGCCAGTAGAAGTGAAAGTTACAACAAAGTAGCGTGTTCTTCATTTTCTGGTGAGCTCTTACAAAGCGACACTCACTGATCAGATATGGTGAACAATCTTTGTTCGTTGCGGCAAATTTTCCTTTCAATATTTGGCTTTGCTTTACTTACGTTACTGCGGATTCCGCACGGTGGGTGTAAAACAGGTGAGGATTGAATAGAAATTCAACTAGATGGACAAGATTTTGAGTTTCTATATTTTTTCATTTTCAGATATGTTGCCATGTTTAGCTCAGATTTGATTTTCCGCTTAATGCTCGATCAAGTGACAAGGGTTGTTTTTATTTGCTTGATCATGTAAAAATCAAATTAACATTAAATATACCAAGTCTCTCCTTTGCTCAGCTTCAGGAACTTATTTTTGAGGAAGGGTTGATGAATTACGCGTTTAGAAAGCGAAAATCATTCAGATAACACTTAATCGATTCAATCACGAATTGTTTCAAACCCCACATTGTTCTTCTGAAAGCCAGCCGGTTTTAGAAGACTAGCACCATGTTCGGATTATGTCAACACGAGACTACACGAGACTATGGGCCTGATTACATGAGCCGGGCTGGCCCTGTTAGCCGGGCTGATTTCTTTTGTTTTGGTGTTCGCCAAAGCGTGAAAACAAAAGAAATCAGCCCGGCTAACCGGGCCAGCTCGGCTCATGTAATCAGGCCCTATCTCGAGACTACTCAAATTTGTTCGAATAAGATTTTCTTATTTGTTTATGATTCGTGCTCTGGTTAAACTGTTCTCAGTAACCAAAAATTTTGCAGATATGCATCGCCTTGCTTGCTGTTCCCTGTCAAATAATTTGCCGGCGAGCTGAATTTGTTGTTCGATCGTGATTCTCGATAGCTACTTTAACGGGTCAATAGTGATTTCTTAGCGGGCGTCTTGATTTCTTGTATTTCAGTTTCTGTCAATTCGACAAAGTTGCTTTCGTTAAACAGACAAAATATAAGTCTAAATTATAATACCATCATTTTATTTTCTCCTAAGAAACGGAAACTACTCGACACATTCAATGGACTCGACAGATTTCACTTCGGGCTTTTCTTGGGATTATGAAGTCAACTTTTATATCTCTCATTGGAATGAGTCTCTTCTTGACTTTGATCGCAGACCGTATCCAATTTAGGGCCCGGTCTAATTAATATACATTAAATCACAAGAGATCTAATGGTTCAAAAGGATATCAAAGATATTGGCTTGAACGTCAAGTGCCGTCTTAAATCCAAATTTGACAAACAATTTGAAAATTTTTCAGTACATCCAGCCAACTGCAGCGGATGGATACCGATCAACAACACGAAAGTATGGGAGTGTGGTTATGATAGTTACATCAAACTAGGACCTTTGAAAGGCAACAATTGCTCAACTATCAAGTTATTGCTTGACCGCTGTACGGACTGTAATGGATTGCCAACCAGCTGCAGATGTGAAGGTAAGCGCAGTTCTTTTAGTCTGCCAATTGTCCTTATTTAGTTTGTAGTACATGGTTTCTGCTCACGATAAATCACGGGGGAGACCGAGGTTCGATTCCTCGCCGGATGCGACATTTTTATTTCTTCATTTCCTCTCCCACTACAACGATTATCTCATTCAAAGCTTCCACTTACAAAATGATTGAAATAAACAATTTGAGTTTCGGCTAAAATTAACTTGATGCTTCAAAGTTAACATAACTTAGGATGATTTATTCAGAAACTCATTTCTTTTATTTTAAAGGAACTACAGAGAAACGAATGCTTGGAGTGCCGATAATATTCCTTTATGGCATAGCAATCGGAGCCAGTTCTATATTTTTCCCAACACTCCTCTTTGTTGTGATTTTGCATTGTTACAAGATGAAAAAAAGAAAAGATAGATCCTTGAGCGAACAAAATGAAATGATGCTTACAGAAACACAGGACACGAGAGGAGAGGACTTTAGTCCACCCAAAAGATCTACGGAAGTAGCTGAGACACAGAACGTAGGACAACAAGAATCGTCCAAGGTCAAAGGAGAACCCACTTACGAGAATGTAAATCGCAAAGCTCGTGATGATTCTCTGGAAAATGGCAAAGTAGGTGCTGCCCAAAGTCACACATCAGAAGCTGCTGAAAATGGCAACGAATGTAACATCGAAGGCAACGTGCAAGGCGATACACCTTCAGGAAAAACGATTAAAGGTCGCAAAGGGTATCTTCAGATGAAACAGAAAAAGACAGGAGAAAAACATCCCTTGTACGAAAACTGCAACGTAAGCCGGCGTTACATGCATATCATGCCAGAGAACAAAAAGCAGAACAATTCATCCGATGAGAAAAGCACAGATGCGAAGGAGAAAAAAGACGTAAAAGACCATCCAGGTGATATCGTTCCCATGAAGACAGAAAAAAAATTACCAAGGAAGACTGGAACAAAGCCACTTTGCCGACCTTCTTCTGCTGCATATGTAAACGCACACATGGGAAAATTGTTAGGTAGTTTCGGTAAAAAACAGACCGAATGAAAAATCATGACATCATTCAAGCATAGCTTGTAAAAATAACAAGTAACTTTTAAGTTGCATAATACTAGAATGAAGCTGACTTTCATTTTAACTTTTAAAGTGTTTAATCTCAGACCACCTTTAAAAGGCCTGAATTTTCTTGAAGATTTCTGATTTCACTCAAAGCATATACGTACAAGTAACTAATATTATTAAAAACTAGATCATTGGATAATGCGATTCAAGACTTTTTATTGGCTTAGCCATTATGGTATATCAGCCAATATACCATAATCTACAGTATGGCCATCGTAAGTGTCAGCTTAATATTAAAAGGGAGCTAGAAATTTAATAAAATTTTATACTTAATTTAACGTTTTTAATAAAACAGTTATTCCACTCGCTCTTGTTGGATATGAGATGATTATAGCCAACTCAGCGCTACGCGCTTCGTTGGCTATCTATCATCTCATATCCAACGCGCGCTCGTGGAAAAATTGTTAAATATTTTTTTACGAAGTATTACATTTGTAAGATCGGTACTGCTCTGTTAACTGCTTTGTTATTTATGTAGCTACAATTCTCTCTTTACGATATCGTTTCGCGGTGTTACACCTTCCGGATTTGGATCAATTTCAAAAGTTTTTTATAAATATATAAATATACATATAGGATGTCTACGTTTCGATTTTTCCGTATTACAGTGCTCGATACATATAAATAGAGCACAATTTATGTTGAGTTAGAAAAATACAAAGACTACGCTTTCATCCCTACAAGCTTGTTTCGTGATTGCTCACCCATCAGAGGATCAAAGATACATATACTTATATTTAACTGCAGACAGTACTGTTTCGGCCTTCTGGGCCTCATCAGTGCAGTGCTGATGCAAAGATGGGGGAGAACCTATATGGATCCCCAAACGATCCCACACTTGTGGTATCGTCTGAGCCATGCCAGAGTGCTCAAACTAGAGGAGCCTAATGAGCTATGCACAATGCTATATCTAAGAAATTTTGTGGAAACGTGTAGTTGTATATAACATCTTCACCCGCTCTGCTGTACCGCTGGTCGGCTTGCAGATGCAGATGCAGATACAACACGTATCGATGATTTCGTGGTAAACTTGCCCCTTTTATTGAGGATACGAGCGAGTATCACAACAGTATTGAGAAAAATAACTGTCATAGAATGTCACCTCCATCAGCGATTTTGATCGTTTATAGCGAAACATATTCCAAAAGAAATGGAAAGGTGCGTTTTCAAATGAACATGCATTGGTGAGGACGGACCAAAACAAAAGGATAGTGTTACGTGTGAAAGAAATTCTGCTTGTTCAAATCATTCATATTAGACGCATGAAAGGATACATATAAAATATCTCATGTCTTCGGGGTTTGGCTTTCATGTCTCTATCGTGAGCCTTTGTGTTTTCTGTGTTTTTGAGAAGTCGTATAAGCGGTTAAATTACTAATAAAAAGACTGTGAAAATGCTGAAGTTAGCTTGTCGGTTATGTCCTCATAGATGAAGTAATTGCAATCCAGCGTGATGATCGTGCCCTCCGTTGTAGCTGGAAAGGCATTTCAAATTAAGTCTACATTAGGAAAAATTACTTTCACGAGCTCGTGAAGAGAAAAAAAAAAAAAAAAGAGTTAAATAAGAAACGATGAGAGAAAAATAGTCCTCTCCTCCCCGGCGGGGAATCGAACCCCGGTCTCCCGCGTGACAGGCGGGGATACTCACCACTATACTACCGAGGACTTGATATTTAAGAAGTGTAAAATTACAATAAAAAAATTTTTTTTATTTTGTAACACCCATACACGAGGCTAATATTCAAGGATACGAGGTAATTCCCTTTTATTTTCTCTGCAAAAGACGGAAAAGGATATATAGCTCAAACTAGCACCCAAACAATCAGTCTTTGTACACTCGCCAAATGTACGACATGACACGAAAAAACCCCAGTTAAGTTGTCGATCATTGGAAAAATTGAAAACAAATTTCCTATATCCAAATGTGTACATAGTAGTACATCTTCTAGAGCGTAAAAGTAAAAGGGAAGATAGAAATTAGAAAGAAAAATGAAAAGTTGCAGGGGCTGTACTCTATGTACTTCTTAATTCATTTCATTTTTTTTTTTTCATACATGATATGACTTAATTTTACTCTTAAGTAGGTAATATTCTTTGTAAATAGTTTTTATCCATTTTATTTGTGTCCCCACATTAATAAGTATGGGATATCTCCCAAACTAGAGGGTTCTTTGACACGTTAATAAAGTTTCTATCTATCTATCTAAGTTTAAAGCTCGAACGCTGATGCTGTACATTATGACAAGGAGAGGTCATTTGATCGAGTAGGGCGTTATGGGACATCTCTAGGAGAGACAACAGTTAGGTAAGACAAAGTGAGTTTTTATTTCATGTTTTCTCCGTTATTTACATTAGTAACTAAGGGAGAAAAAGACTCACGAATTGAGAAGGAGTCCTCTAAGTTACGGACGTTAACGAGGCAAAACACTGCGAAAGTTTAAAAATCTTCTTGCAAGTAAATGCACTAAATGGACTGTCACAGGAAGGGTTATTGCTATCGAAAAAAGAGTGACATAAATATATTCTGAGTTGTTTCACGTAGGTAACTTTAAAGAGCCTATATTCAAAAGGAAATCTTAAAAAAAAATTCTTTTCGAGGGTGCACAGACACGAAAGGGGCAGGAAAGACGAAAAAGAAACAAGGATTATTGATGTTGGAGGGGATTCACATAGATTACAAAACTGGAAAATTGGGCCACATCAGGTCGAAGCTTTCTAGTGAACCTCTCGCATAAAATAAATAATAAAAAAGGAAATCAAGGTTTTATTTCGTGGTTTGGATTCTTTCTGTTTGGCTTTCTTTTCATTTTATTGACGCCAGGTAGGAGAGTTTCCTCATTTGTGCGATGCGACCGACTAAAACAGCAGTTGGTTTCGTAAGATTTCTTCTAGAAAGATGACTTGTGAGCCTTGACTTCTTGGGCTCACACCAGACCTCCTGACCAGCGCCCAGACATTTCGAGTAGGGGATATCATGCAAGACACACAAAAAGTGACGTAGCTACTATAACCACCGGCTGGAAATTTATGTTCACATTGTAAACAGATGCATGGTTGCTAGGCAACGCTAAGTATCCTCTCTATGCTACGATACAAATCCCTTCTGACTGCTCGAGAAATAACACGACGTCTTTTCTTTCTGATCTTAAAACGTCTCCTCTCTATTGCAATGAACAGGCGCAGACGCATTCAAAATTTGGTGGCAAATGTTAGTAAATCGCAAAAGTAGAATGAGCATTATATCTGATACAATGTCTGTAGAAATTGGTGACGTGTTTCCAAACATGATTCCAACAACTTGTTGGGTCTGTAAAGGTAAAGAACAAAACAATTTGTCAGGTTAAAGAAATTTTCAGTTGGGAATCTGATGCGCCCATCAATTCCAAGTTTTAACATCTCCCCTCCAGACAACCCACGGGCATTTTTACCGTCGTCCATGCCCAGGGGATGGGGAATTTTAACCTCGCCTGGTCGGGGTGGGGAATTTGAAGCTTGCCTGGTCGGGGTAGGGAATTTGAACCGGAATTATTAAGTCTTTCCAGCGGAATACAAGTTTTATATCTTTAACTATGGAGGCGTTTGAGGTGAGTAGATCACTTTCGTGAGCGATTGGCTCAGTTGAAAAGGTCGACAGGGTCTAGGTTAACGGTTGGTCACTGGGAAGAATATTACGGTCGCTGATTAAGCAAACCCTGTCTTCTTAGTAAACTGCAGGCAATGAATAATTATTAATCTGCAAAGCACAATATTCTCACTTTGAAACAAAGGCCACGAAGAATGACTTAAGATGTCTTGGGAAGTAAGGTTGTTTAACGGTATAATCTAGAGCTTTGAGAGGACCAGAAATATCCTTGGGGTACTCCATCTTCTCCTCTCCCTGTAAAAAGAAAAGTGATTACAGTAATTTACTTAGTTAGGCTTGCGATAGGCTTCCGTCCAGGCCCAGGCCCTCATTTTTACTGCTGCAGGGCAAGCGTTTTCCGCCCGCGGGAAGATTTGAGACGAGTTGGGAAGACATTTGCCGGGGTCTGGCACTAACACCAGTTTTAGACCACAAGCAGACCTCTTAATGGCTCGCATTGCTTAAGGCCTGGATCTTTCCTGTGAGCGAAGAAGCGCTAGAGTTGAACCGCTAATAATGAGGGCCTTCTCGCAGGTTAAAGAGATCTATCCAATACATGAGTATTGTACTCTGGAACAGGCTTGCCAACGAAGAGGGAAGGAACAGCTCGTTGGACAATTTTAAAAGCTTAATTGAGACATTTTCCTCTGAATTTTACAATTTTTAATTCATTAGTATTACATGTGGGCAGAGTCTTCAATTTCTTGTTTTAATCATGTATTCGTCGCTTAAATTACAACTATGATTCCCTTCACTCTTTACTTCTTAAAATTAACTTGGACACGACTACATCAGCTACTCTGTAATTCTATCGTGTATAAAGAAACGCTTCATCACCATGATCATCATTATTATTATTATTATTATTATTATTATTATTATCATCATCATCATCATTATCATCAAAACCGATATGAAGTCATTCGTTTGAATAACAGGAATTGTCACACTATAAGTAACGCATAGACCTTCGACGATAAATTCTAGTAGTCGTAAAATTTAGAAATATTTCATTAGTGTGACATTCGAGTACCTTAAGGAGTCCCATATGAATTAACAGAGAAGATATGAGCCCTTCCTCTTTGCAGTCCGCGGACTCGAGGGATGGCTTCAAAACTGTATCTGAAAAATTATTATACAAACTTCATCACATTGCAGCGATGGTTTCATTTAAACATGACAGCTATTTCAGTCATGAGATGGAGTTTGAAACCTTTCAGCAGAAAACTTAAAATAGAAATGGAATGCAGTAGAAGGGGAAATGCTAAAACATTGTAAACAAGGTTGGAAAATTAAGAGAGTATTGAAGAGGAGTTACCAGCCCATTCCATGAGTGCATCTTTGTCGTTTTTTAGGGCAACAGAGATCTGAAAGGAAAGACAGCCTGAAAATCACGTCACTGAAGTTTTTCACTCCTGCAGAAACACTTAAAAGGCGAAGTAGCAGTTTATTACTGGACAAAATCATCCACTGGAGAATGGTACTGTACACGAATGGGTTTTTAAAGCATGCTCAACTGAAGGGAGGACAATGGGTGACAAACTGAAGTATAGGGTACACAAACGACCGATTAACATATAGATTCCATGTTGCCCTACGGTAATGGATCACAGATGACGCCAAAATGTGGTAACATTGATACACTGACACTCCTCAATAACCTATTATAGCACCGATGCACGACACAATAGAATATAACTTTTGTTTGTTAAAAAAGGCAAAATGTTGTTGATTTCTACGCCTGTCCTGCTATAGATCATAACTAAGAACCAATCAAAACTCGTTTTTAATTCAGCTTATCAAATAATTAATGATTTGTAATAGTATCGATGCTTACCGACACAAAGTACTTTGCTACTTTATTGGTTTCGTACAAATCATCCTGTTCAAACATAACACAAGAAAACAATGGCTTTAAGTATATGCAAGGCACCATTGTAGGGTCTTAGCGTGCGGAATGTTTTTTTTTTTGTTTTTGTTTTTTCTCATTCAATCAATCATTAGGGTGTCCTTTTGTGTTGCCGCTGCTTCTCGTCGTTCGTTAGTATTTTTTCGCTGGTCAGTTAGCTTCTGTTGTTTCTGTGTCACGTATCTTCGTTAATTAGTTTCTTTCGTAATATAGGCGCTAATTGCACTTTAAGTTAGCTAGTCGTTTTCGCATGTATAAATTAGTTTTTCTCAAGTTCAGAGTTTAGTCTTCCGTTAGTCATACAGTAGTTCGCTTTGAGCAGTTAATCCAGTTCACCTTATTTTCGCCTTTTGGCAGTTTATATTCGTCCAGCAGTTTCGTAGAAATCGTAACAATGTAAGTATTGTCATTTCAAGTTTATTCAGTTCGTTCAGTGTATTTCTTTACTGTCACTTTTATTAGTCAATTGTTGTAATTTCGAATTCATTTATTGTTTTAAGTTTCAACCCACATAACGTCAACATCATTCGTACCCAATAAATACGTCTCCATCATCGTGGTGTTGTGAGGTTACGATTACTGCAGTTACAACCATTACACGTCACAATGATTCCTACAGCTGTCTTCTTCATTTCATATGAGAGGTGCGCCGCAGCTACATAACATACCTTTAAATATTCTGCTAACAGCGATCTCCGTTGACTGCTCGGTATGTTCTTAAATTTTTCCAGTGTTGGCGACTTGAAAAAGTCTTGGACAACTTCCATGCTCACCACCTTAGATGAATTTCAAAGTAAAAACGTAGAAAAAAAAGAAGATAAAGCCTATGTTTTTAGTTCTTAGAGGTAAAGCAAGAAAAAGCCATAGCAGAATTTGTGGGTGTAATTTCCCCTTATCAGTCTCTTGTGATAGCATAATAAGTTTTCCTGTTCGTTCAAGAGCAATTCTAAAATTTATGTTCATCGCACCTGACTCACGCAAAGCACGAGTCTCCCCCTCTGTAGGCACTCTTCTTGCGTGCCACGCGAGCAACCTCGAACGAAAATGGACACTGAAGGGTTGACTTGTAGGCTCTCCTTTTATTGTTCCCAGTCCCTTTTCCGTTTACCCCTTATTTCTACAAGGGGAGGGACTGATGACGTGCATAAGATTAACTTTACAGTAGTGAAGAGTTTAAGAATGGAGTTTACGGGAATACATGGCATACAGCGAAACAAATACGGTCTGATTTAACGCACTCCTCCAAATAGTCTCTAGGTCATAGATAATGCAATTTGCCATTTTTTTTTTTTCGGTTAACGACATGCTTAGCCTCTCTATTTCTTTTTTCTTTACAGAAAGATTTTCAATTTTGTTTTTGTGTGACTGCTGTGCGTGTGGGTGGGAAGGGTGAGGGAAGGGAGGAGGGGGGGAGGTACATGTCCCTATCAGATAGATTTGTCCATTTGATTCAACGCTCATGGAAAAACACCTTTATGGGTACTCGACCCAATTTAAATTCTAAGAAACTGCCATTTATAGTTCACACGCTATTCAATACTTCAATCAAACATCTAACTAAAACTATTTAAAAATAAAAAGCAACAATATGTATATAAAAAGATAAATCACTCTACACACTCCTAGACAAAAATAGCCCACAAAAACGGAATGTAAAATTCCATTATAAATAATCAAAGTTCACACAATTCGTCGTGCATATTTATCGACTATGAGCATCCCTCCTTTTCAGCGAAATCTGTCGTCCGAGTTAAAAAAAAAAAATAATAATATAAAATAATAAGAAAATAAATGAGAAACTGCGCGCCGCGTGAAACTCTGGGAATAGGTAATTTTCATGCACCTCACTTCCAGAGTTCCATACAGCACGCTAACATCAATCTTCTTTTTTTCGCTGATTTTTTTTTTTAACTCGGCGACGGACTTCGCCGAAAAAGAGGGAGTGCTCGAGATATGTACATAGGTGTTATGAGAAGCAGAAAAAGAAAGTAATTTACAAAGATAACGCCCTCTTCATCCGGGCGCAAGATTGAATAAATAATAGTAACATGTAAAATAGCATAAAAACGAACTTGCTTTTTATACCTATCTTACAACGCTTTCTGACTAAAATTAACTACTATGCCTCACGAAAAGATTTCTCTATTTGCCTGACCGTAGTTTTTGTTACGATCACGAAGCTCTATAACTTTATGGGCGGAAATGTGTAAGTTTTCTCGCCAATCACAACGAACAGTTTCTCCAAACTAATTCTATGTGCACAAAGAAACCGAACATCCTGCGCCCGGTAATACCACTAAGGTGTTGTCCTGCGCTTGACGCCGGTCTCATGTTTTCCGGCGCTTAGGGCTGGTTTAATTTTTTTTCCCGCCATAGACGTAACTTGGCACTGGGTGCGATTTTTTATGCCAGTGATTGTGATTGGCTAGATGTTATCGTTTCCTTTCTGAAGCAGCCAATAAGCATACAGATTTACCTACACACAATTGCCGAGGGCCAGAACAATTCAGTGTCATTTTCTTCATATTGTGGTTAACAGGATGCATGTGATGTGATGCTCATACATTGACAATAAATTAAAAATTTTACTAATAATTAAAGCATAAAAATTCCATTAAAATGAATTCTAGTTCAGTTTAAAGCTATAATTCAGCAAACTGGCTCATATATTGACTGCTAATCACAAACTCTTTCATTCTTTATTGGATTTGTCCCTTGGTGAGTAATGTCCCTGCGTGGAAGGCAACGAAAAAACCAATTAGCTTAATACCACTTCCACAATTTCAATTGAAGTTGCTAAGATATTTTTTAAAAAGTCACTTTAAATGGCCCAATGCTAGAAATTTATCAAGAGATGTAAAATTTAGAAATATCTTGTAAAAAACCATGTGTACACGTACTGCTTTTGAATAAATGGTCATAGCCTTGAGTTTCATGAACAGACTTAAAACTGAAAACTGCAGTAATTTCATATTGTTGGGGTTTCAATGTTTGAGCGAGTGTCAGCTTGTTGCTAGAAATATAAGTTTCATTCATCACTGTCAAGAAACAGATTGTTTCAGGAAAAAGTACTGACTGAATAAATACCGACAAAGTAAAAGCAGAAGAGCTAAAATTTACAGGATTGAAACTTTATTGTCAGTGAAAGAGGTATCACATCACATGAAAAACGTTGTCATGTTAATCTCAACAAGACATCACATTGGCACCCAACACACAATTGTGTGGTAATTTGGTTTTTGCAAAAGTTTGTTGCAAAGCCAAATTCTGTTCAAAACTGACATCAGCAAAACCACATTTAATTTAATTTAATGCAAAGTAGACATACCTTAATAAGTTCTTTTTCCACTTCTTCATCATCGCCAAGCAATGGTGATTGTGGTTTAAGACTGACACCTGTCACACTCAGGTTCAAGTCATTGCTGACATCTCCCTCATCACCTTCACTGTCTCCACCTTCAAGTTCATCTTCCTGATCATCATCATCATCATCGTCGTCATCATCATCGTCATCACCTTCTCCCTCATCCTCACTCATGGAACCCAAAATATCAAGCTGACCATTTTCATTCAGCCAGTTCTTCACTTCTTCAAGTCCTTCATCCCCTATGCTGTTTCCTGTAAGAAAATATTATTTAGTTCTTATTAACTGAGCGGGAGGTCTGTAAGGGAAAATCTTGACTGAGGTCGCCAGTACAGACTGAACGCAGTGAGGTCTGTACCAGCGACTGAGGTCAAGATTCTCCCATACAGACCGACCTAGCTCGGTTAATAAGATGTTTATTTTATGGCTGTGTCTTATGTGCCAATTTTTTTATATTCTTTGTACCTTTTTTTTCTAGACCGGTCTAGATGCTGGTCTAGATGGGAAAATCTAGACCGCTTTCAATATTGATTTCAGCCGATCAAATTCGTGAATTCGGTAGTTCCCAGTCCTTGTGAGACAGCCATAATAAAAGGAAATATTAAAAGGGCAATTTTAATATTACTGTTCTCATAATTTGCAATTTTCAACCAGCAAAATTGGAGGTATTATTATCTGAAACAGATCTTTGTAAATGTCACTACTCACAGTCAAGGAGGATCAAATTGAACAAAATATTGTTTCAAACAAGTTTTTGGAGTGCAAAAATTTATCTCTACAAGATGGCAAACATGTGCAGGTCTGATTTTCACTATTGCTTAAATAGTACCCTTTACTGGGAGGATCATGCACAAATATGTTTCTATAACCGCAATTCAGATCTATATATGAATTTCGTATATTCATTGTGTTTGAATTATCATCTTATGGGTTTATGTTGGACTAATTTGATGACCTGCTCCCAGTTGGCTTGTTAGCTCAACTGGTAGAGCGCTGAACTAGTATCATAGAGGTCAGTGGTTTTGAATCCCATACAGGCCTGAAATTTTTCAGGTCTGATTTTCACTATTGCTTAAATAGTGCTCTTTACTGTGAGGATCGTGCACAAATACAATTCTGTCTTTATTTGAGAGACAGCAGAAGCTTCTCTACTTTCAAGTCTATTTTGATCATTAAAGTGTGTTAAAGAACATTCACTCAAACAAAAATCTAAACCTTATAATACAGGGCTTGAAATTGTGCCTGTATTGAGTGCATTTGTGAATAAAGATTTTACAGCCTAGCTTATAAATAAATCATATTTTACAGCCTTGTGTCTTATTTGTGACTGGTTGCTGTAGTTTTATCCAAAAATTCCTGTGAAATTCACAAGTTAAATGTTGGATGACTTTTATTGTAGATTTCTTGCTGGGAAATGTGTCAGGGCCACACTTTTTCAGAAACAAAGTTGTGCAACGCTCATGAAATTTCAAAGAAATCTTCGTTTCTAATCATATTTTGTTTGGGTTGGTTAGTTTTGTGACTAAAATTTTCAAACTTGCGACTAAATTTTAGGAATTACTCGCAAATTGCGATTGAGAATTTTTTTTTAATTTCGAGCCTTATAATATTTTAATGCAAAATTTACAGTCATGGAATCATCAGAGTCCTTTCATAAGTCAGATAGAAAAAATTGGTACTGACAAACCTACCATTCAATTCCAGTTTTTCTAAAGATGCTTTATTCACCAGAGCCTCAACAATGGCTAGAGCACCTTCTTTGTTAATCTCATCAAAGGAGAGGTTCAGATCTTTCAAGTTGTTCACTGCTCCTTGTAAAGATTTCGCCAATGCCTTTGCTCCTTCTGTTTTCACCAGACAGTCTCCAAAATTTATCACCTCAATGTTTTTCAGGTTTGGCAGCACCTGTGAAATAAGTTATTTAACATCAAATGACAAATGTTAACCAATTCTTGTGTTAAGTGCTTGTGTAGTTATTGCAGATAGATGTGTTAATTATATCAATAAAAGTGAAGCTTACCTCAGCCATAGCCGTGGCTCCTTTAGGGGTGAATGTGTTGTCATTCAGATTCAAAACCTGTGTTAAACAAAACTCTGTGCTGTTAATACATTCAATGCTTTAAAATGTCCCTGATTTGTTCACTTGCAAGTCTCACAGACCTGGGCTTAGTTCTTCAAAGGGTGGATGATGGTATTCAACCGATAAATTGCTATCTAACTGGGAAGTGTTGACAAAACATACTGCCCTATCCAGCAGATGGCAATTTATTGAGTGGATAGCGTTATCCATCCTTTAAACAACTAGGAGCAGAAGGGTGATTAGAGATAAGCAGAGACATAATTATAGTTCATTGATAACTTAAGTTTGAAACTTGCAGTCCAATAGATGCTTAAAAATATTCACACAAGTAGAAAGAGGAAGAACCTTCACCGAAAGAGTGTACAGCAGGGATTTCATTAATTTGGAAGTAGGCATATATTAGGACATAAGTAAGCGGAAGACAGTTCAGAGGTAATCGAGGCAGATTTCTCACCAGTCTTTCTCTTCTGTCCATTCAAAATGGGCTCACAGTGAACCAATCGTGTTGTTGATTGAATTGTTAGAACTCATTACAAAAATCACCCAACAACCAAAAAGGAGACAAAATATCAACAACAAAAAACCCTTAAGTTTATACATGACTGCCTTTAGAATAATTATAATGAATGTTTTCCAAAAAACACGCAAAAACAGTGAGGTGAAATGGCCACAGTAGCTGGCTACATTGTGAAGGGTAGCTGCCAGAATTTGTAGGTTTTCAGCTTCTAATGAAATCCCTGGTCCAGTAATAGTGTAGAGCTCCAGCCTCACAAAAAGAATGAATCAATTTCAGTGTCTGAGCAACTGCACACCTACCCCCCCCCCCAACCCAACAAAAGTCAACTAATAACAGGTTGGGATTAATGTTGGGTCAGGGGATGTGTGCAGTTGCTTTGTTACTGTTATTGATCCAAAAGAATAAGCTGAACATGTGCCTACCAACCTTCAGGTTTGGATTGGACTTGAGAGCTTCAGCAAGAGCTGCTACCCCTTCATGAAGGATTCCATTCTGTGGCATTTGTATCTCTTCTAGTGTTCCTATTGTCTGTAGAGCAAATATGACAAAAATTAGTTTCGGAAGATCTCGCCATTTCTCACAAATGAGATTCTGTTTTCCAACTAACTAACCACTGAAAAAGTTCCTCAAAAGGTTGGAATCAAACAAGAAAGGCACTTGTCCCTACCCCTACCACGGCACCATGATAATAATTAATTCCACAAATCCCCTACCTCAAATGCCGCTGCTAATGATTTAGCTCCAGGGTTTTCCAGGCGATTTCTCCCAGATATGAAGACTTGAAGCTTTAAGGGTGTTCCTGCTTCAGAGCTTGTTTTGTGACACTTAATCAGTGCTTTGGAGAGGATCTGTCAAGAAATAATTTGGATATATCAACAAAGTTGAAGTGGTAAATTGGCCACCGTAACAATTATAAAATCTGACATTTCGAACGTTAGCCCTTTGTCCGAGTGAAGAGAGGAATTGTGGGTTGTGTGTGCTTTTAAAGGCAGAAAATGGAGCTATGTTATTGGTGGGAACATGGCAACGAGAAAAACATGAATAAATTAGTGGAATGAAAAGCACTCGTTGATCCCTGTGGGATTTAGACTGCCGGTTTGAAAGATGAGCTTTTGTTCAAGAAACATTGGCAATGTTTGGTCATTAGGCAAATTATACTCAAAGCAGTGACCATTTTGGTCACCATTGGACAGGAGATAAGTTTTGTTTGGAATGGGAGTCACCAATGTGGTGACCTGTGTTTGATTGTCATGTAATAAGTTATCACATAGTCTTAATAATCTCAGGTGCAAGTGTGACATAAATCTGCACAGAATTATTTAACAAACAGATTTCATGTTGCTGTGCATCTGTTAAGTAACAGATCACAGATGATGTCAAAACACGATAAGAACAAAAAAGTGGTATGTGAGGCACAGCAGAGTGTGTCACTGATGATCTTACCATATTTTTAAATCTTCTGTAATCTATTACAACTGTAACGACCCACAACAACAAGGAAACTTTTTGTTTCAGATAATATAAATTCAAAATGTTGTTAATAATATTAACCATTTAACTCCCAAGATCTGATGGTTAATTCTCCTTTATAGCTGCTACACATTTCCTTGTAAATTAGTTACAAGAATTTGGTGTTGAGATAACAACTTCTATTCAATGAGTTTAAGTATTCTCATTACCTGTTTCCTGGATAATTTAGGGATATTAAATCAAATCAAATCAAAATTATGAGAAGAAGTTACATGTTAATTACTTCTGGGTGTTAAAGGGTTAATAATAATAATAATAATAATAATAATAATAATAATAACAATAACAATAATGATAATAATAATAACTATAATAATTTATAATGACTATAATAATTGTGACGTTGAAATCACAGCTGCCGAGGGAGCCATTGACATTGTTTAATGATTTTTAGCAGCTTTGTGTCTGGGGTTCTAGATTTGCCATTCACCTTTCTCTTTTCTGTATAGTCTTAGATATGCTTTTACTTATCAGATTATTAGATTTCGAATCTGTTCAGATTTGACTCCGTTATTTATAGTTTTCCAGACGCTTTGACAAAAAAAAAAGGAGTAGATGTGAGCCGAAAGTGAGTTATTTTAGATCGTTTTTTACGCTGTTAATATTTTGTATTGTAAAGGATTTTATGGAAATTATTGCTAAATAAAATTTATCTTCACCCGTGTTTATTATTATCATTATTATAATAAAAAAAAAA